ATAACCCAAATCCTATAAGATGTTTTAATTGCTTCTCATTCAACCACTTATCGGCTAAATGCCAACGTAAAGTCTGTGACATATGTGGGCTTACTCAACATGACGAACAGTGCAGCCACCCATTGAATGTGTTAATTGTTCTGATCCACATCCAGCGTGGTCTCAAAACTGTCCTGCATTCCTAAAAGAAAAGGAAATTCAAAAAGTAAGAGTAACCGATAGGGTACCCTATCCGGTGGCTAGATAGTTGATAATAAAACACCTACAGTTCTTCCTCTGGACAGCTTTTCTAAGATTGTGTCCACTCCAGCACCAAGTACCGAAATAATCCAAAAAATATGAAAACTTTCTCCAATTATTGAAGGTATAGTTCAGAAAATTAAGTTTTAGAGGAGAGGTTAAGTAATAGAGACAATACATCAACGAATCCAATTACTTCAACAAGTCTTTCTTCTAACCTAAATCCACTCATAATAAAAGAACACAAAAATACAATCAGTCACTATGATCCCAATTAACAGGAAAAAGTTAAAAAAGGTAACTTGTAGATAAATGGAGGCCTACAAAACATAACAGATAACAAAAATACCTCTAACATCCAATTTACCACGGAAACTAAAACCTCCGATATTTAAATTAACACGAAAAATGAAACTCTGACCGAATCATTACTACCTTTGAAGAAACTTGTAGAATCACCTGACAAAAGCTATCCTCTTACCTTCATTCCATTACACACATTTTTAGAAACTACCGTAATCACAAAAGACCCGGTATCGGCAGCACTGGAAATAACCAATGACCTTGATTTCATCATAACTATGTTTTCAGATCTATACTCAGCTCTTCCAACAAAAAGCTTAAAGAGCAGATTTACTTAAGTCATAAAAAGCCTGAAAAATCACATCAGAAACATTTCTGTTAGTGAAAACACCCACATTTAATTTTTCTAGTACCCCAAAACCAGATTATACCTTATAACATTAAAACATATGATCATATTAAATTGGAACTGTGATGGTGTATATCGTCACTGTAATGACCTACAGTTGTTGATTTCTAATTATAGCCCTTCACTTTTATCTCTTAAAGAGACCCATCTAAAAGAAAATCAAACAATTTTAAAATCTTTATATAATTGTATTTACAAAACAGTCCGTCGTACTCCTCATGCTAGCGAGGGAGTCTCTCTTGCCATTAAGAAAGGCATCAGTTATACTGCTATTAATTTATCCTCCACATTAGAAACAGTAGCCGTTGTCGTTCATCTTCCAGTTCAGTTTACGATATGTTCTATTTATTTTTCGAGACCTATTACTCCCATTAGAAATTCCTTTTAATGGGAGATTTAAACGCTCACAGTCCGACTTCGGGTATCAATCATCGGTCTGATGCAAGGGGTAAGATAATAGACTCTCTTATAGATGAATTTTCGCTCATACTCTGCAACCCCTATGCGCAGTATTTCTATAACCGAGCCCACCAAACCTGGACTTCTATTGACCTCTGCTTTCTATTGTTCAAATTGCTAACCTCTCAGTCCCTAAAACCAAACCATCTAAATATTTAAGAACGGTTTCTTGGTAGACACCCGAATGTTGTACTGCTTTGAAGAAACGATATAGAGATTTAAAAAGTTGTCCATCATTAAGTAATCATATCAATTACCATAAAGCCGGGGCAGAAGCGCGGTGGATTATCAACCAGGCAAAAAGAAATTGCTGGACAAAATTTATTTCTTCCATCTCAACAAGAATTTCAACTAAAATAGTATGGAATAAATTAAAAGCTATAAAAGGCAGACAAATTAACAATATTCCGCGCTCGATAGCTTACAATGATAGCTTTAATTTGGTTTGTCGAAAAAAACGCTTCCTTTTTGAGATATAGGCCGAAAACTGAAAAAAAGTGCCAAAATTCGGTCAAGAAGTGCCCAAAAAACAAAATTCCGGACAAAACTTTTGCCAGCAAACTTCAAATTAGTGTTCAGCGACCTAAAAAACATTCCTTTACTCCTAATTGCAATAGCTTCTATATTGGTGAAACCAAAAACTATCTCAAAACCCCCATTTCCCAACATAAAACGTCCATAACTTCCCGGAATCCTTCCGCCTCCAAACTATCAGAACATGCTTTAATACTCAACCACTCATTTGATTTTGAAAAAACCTCTATCCTTTCCACGGTCCCTAACCATGAAAAAAGACTCATTTCCGAATCTATCCACATTCACATGGAACACAATCCCATTAATCACAAAGTAGACAAATACTGTATTTCTCTTACGTATAGACACATTTTAAGTCTTATAAGGGAAAAATAACTTAAATATTCTATTCTATTATTTTCATCTACTCTCAATTTTATTTAATTAATTCATTTAATTGTTCATTATTCTATGTATTCCTTCTTTGTATGATCTCTCTGTTATTTTATTCTAAATTTACATTTACACTCTACATCAATGTATGATCATCCTTTTTCCACTTTGTATTCATTTTACTTATTAACCATGTCTCATTATCTAATATTCAAATGCAATTTTCTTACATATGTACAACCAAATATAATTATAAGTATTAATTTTTTTCCCTCTCTATACTTTTAAGTTAGCTCTGCAATGTATGTATGTTAATGAAGTTATTTCTATATTTATATTTTACTTTTGCCAATTTTGGGTTTATTCACATTGTACTCTGATCTAGAATCATGAAATACCTCTCACATCTCTCAACTCTATTTTATATGTATATTTATATATTTATAATTTAATATTTCATAGATATAGTATTTTTCCATTGTATCCATCCATATCTTCAAAAATTCCTAGATACTGTAATTTCCTGGGTTTTTCAATGTTTACTTAGTTAACACATGTTAACTTCCCCTATACCTGCAATCCTTACCGCTGCCTCTCCAGTTCTAAGTGAAACTCCTAGATGAACACACCTGTAAGTCTCTAATTTTATTTCTCTCCTGTAGATTTTGTAGAATTATACTCACATTTTCATTTATTATATATTACACTACAACAATTGTTAGCATCTATTTACTTTAGTTTAGGATCTTGTTACTCAGCTTACTTAGTCCATATTTTATTGTACTTACTGTTTATAATTTTAATAAGCTTATTCACATTGTTTATAAATTATGTCTAAATATTATGTAATTGCCACAATTCTCTATCTTTTTGTATCTTGTCCGTTCTAGCCCTGATGAAGACCTGCAAAGTCGGGTCGAAACGTTGGCTTTCAATAAAATAGTTTTACCACTATTTAGCCTTTTTATGACCGCAACCCCCTGACCATCTCCTTCCTTTAAAAAACATAAAGGGTGAGAAAATCAAAACTATAGCAAAACTTGATTCTGAGCCCCCATTTTTTCGCTAATATGCCTAGCCTACTTCTAAAACTGGAGCATAAGATCAACATTATCAATCAATACGTGTTCCCGGGGCTTACCTGCCCTCTCCAGACGGCGCACCTCACAAAGATACGTCCTGTGATATTGGAAGGAATTGATACAAATATTCGCAGAAGTATCAAGGCCATTATCGGATTTCCCGCTAATACATCAAGGGCAAAGTAGTATGCACCGAGGAGGTATCGAGGATTGGGATTGATCTGCTGTCAGTGGAAGGGTCCTTTACAGCATTGGTCCATTGCCTAGCGACTGTCCAATGTACCGGATGTTCTGTTCCAGTCCACATTTGATTATAATCCGGAAATCATAGAATTTGTGGAAAGACTGGGAGTGTATCAGGGCCACCGAAATGTGAGAGCTCTACGACAGTCACTAAGAGAAACTTCTTTTGAAGAATGGGCCAACAGCAGGTGGAAAGGTGTTGGAGTTCGGCATTTTAAAGAAACCCTGAAAGCTAATAAATACACATGCCAAAAGCAAATGCTTTCGGGTTCAGAATGGTCTAATGCCTTAAAACTCAACATCAATTATGCACCTTTGCATGGAGTCCCAGGAGCCAGTGGACAGTCGAGGGAAGTGGGTCCCACTGTCATAAGTGAGGCAGAGAGTCTGAAACACCATCTCATATGGTAGGAAAATGTCCCAACTACTCCCTCCTCATAACACGGCAACACCATAGAGTCAAGTTTGAATTGATGAGACTCCTTAGAGAAAAGAAATACGCCTGCTTCGATGAGGTCTATTGCACCGACAGTGAAGGCTCAACTAGGTGTACGGATATTGTTTCATTTTCCAAGACAGCTCTGATATTGAATTAAATTGTCCACTTTGAGAGCAATCACCTCGATCAGGTGGGTGAAGTGGAAAGGGAAAAGAAATATATATATATATATATATATATATATATATATACATATATTTGATAAATGTATCTCTTGCCTCAAAGAAAAGTTCCATGAGTCCTTCAGAGAGAGTTCACCTCTGGTTTGGGTCATGCTGAACGATCCTAAAAAAGAACAAGGAGCTTCTTTGATGAACTAGGTGTTGATGTTGGGAAGCTTGCGATATTGGCCGAGAATATTATACTGGATTCTCTGGAGATCATCCACTATCACTTGTATAGTAATTGACTGTGAACTTAGAATGTATTTTGTCATTTATCTATAAATTTATTCAATTTTAATTTTTAGCTTTGTCTTATCCTTTTATGTAAATTCATTGAATTGCATTGATATATGTGTGTGTGGGACTTATTTTGTATTTCTAGCATTCGAATACTTTTTTTTTTATAAAATAATACTATAATGTAAGAGCTATGTCCATATGGATTGATCAGTATACTGTGGATAAAGCAATCCTATGTAGTAGGGCCGCATTACTTTCAATAAAATATTTCTCCCTCTATCATAATAATCAACAATTATACAATATTTACCATCTCCCTCCCCATTTACTGATCTACTTTTTGAGCATGAATATCTTAGCCAGGAAATATTGAAAAGGTTAGACATTCTACTCAATCAACTTTATCAAGTAATAAAATAAAGTATAACAAGGTTAAATAAGTATCATAAACATGTTTTGATGAGGATTCATCTGCATTTTTTATTTGATACAACATAATTTTTAAAATAAAATATGAACTGGCATAAAAACAACTTTAATAACATTCTTTATTAATTGTAAACATGATTGAAAATTAAACTTAAGCGCGTAATATCACACAGGAATGTTACAACCTTGGCCAATTAATATGCCAAATATGCTCTACAAGAACATTTATTACTACAAGAAGAAAAATAAAATTTTGAAAACATAATAATCAGAAATTCCAAGTGTGCTTCAATGTATGTAGTTTACTAAAATATATATAATATGACAGTTTATAAACGTTTTTATTGAATTAGAAAAATAATCAATGAATGTATAAAAGTTATTAATTTAAAGCATTAATGTATTGTTACATTATGCCATTATAATCTGATTGCAAATTATTCAGAAGCATTCAACATTAGCAGCACAGTTGGGGAGCTGTACCATGATTTAGTATATATGTATGAATTTTTAAATGCACTTAAAAATAAGAGCATCAATGATAAATACAAAAATATTTTACAGCTATACTTTTCTTAACATGGTAATAAGCTATCTTTTTTAGTTTATTCATTTTTTCCACATTGTAAAGTTGACAGCATTTCCATTAAAATTAATAATGGAATATGAATACATCCTGCAATTTGAAGGGAAGGTTTTTTAAATAAACACCTTTTTTCTAATTCAGTTCTTTAAATAAATAGTAAAAACTAAGAGATTATTTTTTTAAAATTGTGAAACAATTTAAATATGGAACCATTTGTAAAATACACTTTACATATTCAAACACACACACACACACACACATACAAAAAAAAGCACTACCACACACTTATTTTGTTTCTTCTATGCATCAGTCTTTCATTATCAGTATCCTCACGATTCCCTGCCCCAATACAATTTCACAATCAATACACTTATAACAGTTCTTGTTTCAGAATAAGAATATTCAGAGAAATACAAAATAAATATATTAATTGCTTAGATGTATGAATGGGGGATAAATTAATGAAAGGTAGTTTATTTTACAAATGAATATAATGAGTAAAGATTTACTAATCTTAAGTTCAAATATAACCACATATTTTACATAAATATTACATATTCTAACATATATACAATAGAGCAAGGGAGAGATGAAGTAAAATAAAATAGAAATTAAGAAAAAGATGAATGTGTTGTAAGGTATTCATTGTTTCTTTCTTTTTTTTATTTATAATTTTTTTCCCCTCTGTTTTTTTTCCTTGTTATTGTTCTAAGTTATTGGTGTGTGCTTGCGTGTGTGTGAGAGAGAGAGCATGGACAAAGGTACTTATACACCACAGAAGTTTTGATTCCAATACTTATAAATATATATAAACTTAGGAATGATATACACTTGATAAAATAAATGAGTCTTCAAAGTGATTTTTTTAATTGATGTAACAATTCAATTTTAAGACTGCATCAAAACGGAATCCCACTAATGCGAGACGGATAGAGCTGTGCCTCGAAGAGAAGAAGTTAATATTAACTGTTAAATGTTAAATGAATTTTATAAAATTTTAAATTAATGTATTTTATATTTATACATCTGCAGAGGAAGAAAGTGAGGAGGGGAATGCATTTATATTTAAAGATTGTACGGCCTTTCAGCCAAGTCCTTAATTTTTTATCTGCATTCTGTATTTACAGTTGTGTATTAATACTATATAATTAGATACAAATTTTAATGGTAAAACTTAGGAACAATATACAGTTGAAAAAATAAAGGAGCCTTGAGTGTGATTTTTTAAATTGATATTAGAAATAAAAAGATTTATGTTTATATATATATATATATATATATATATATATATATATATATATATATATATATATTACTGTATGTGTATATATGTACTCAGATCCATTCACAAATGAGATATTTACTTTTTTAATAAATGAATAATAATAAAAATAAAAGTGCATAAAATTTTTTCAAGATTTTTCATTGCGAGTGTGTGAGTGTGTGTATGCATGCTAAAGTTGATGTGATGTGTGTCTTCTGTTGGTATGTTTTAAGGTGACTTTATGGTATTTGTTTTCATACCTGTGTGTACTAAAGCAACATACTTATCACAATAAAAAAATCTCAATACATACTAACAGGCACAAATCTCATCCATATCTGTACAATATAAAAATCACAGAAGTATAGAAGACTTGAAAATGCCTCTATCTTCAGCAAAATTTCTTCACCCATCAGTAATCACACATATACACACATAATAATGACAATAATAATAATAATAATAATAATAATCAGATAATAATAATATATAATACATAACAATAAATATAATTAATTATCTTTGGCCACAACAGATACAGGAATAATGGTAATACAAATTTCATCTTACAAGTTTATTAACATTGCTTTTACATTTCAGCACACATCACATTTCAATAATTTACTCTTCCTATTTTAATTCAAATGAGATCTATACAATTTTAAGTGCAATGTGCAAAATTATTTATAAAATATCTTTTTCCGCTCTGAGTATACTTAATAAGACTGACAAACTAACACTGTCAACCAGGAAACTAAAGTGAAAATCTAATGTTTCAGAGAAAGAAAAAATAAAAATATTTTACTAATTTCAAATAGATAATTTATTAGCACTAAAATCATAACATATTCACATTAACTATAAATTAAATGATTAAATGTGGCTTACTAATCAATTTTGTTTTGAATTTTAATGCAGTTAAATTATCTTTACTTCAAAACAATTAAAACCTGATTTAGACCTAAATAAACCATATTAAATTAAGTTATTTCTTAACTTAAACAAATTAAGGTAACATTCACATCCCAAACAGCCTACAAAATAGGAAGAGTTTATTGAATTACTTAATTCATACAAATTAATGTTTTAGTGGAAGTATAAAACCATTCTTTACAAATTTATATATTACATAAAGACATTATTCACCACTATGTGTGAATATATATTAAATTGTGTAATAAAACAAAAAATACTTTATATATACAAATACATATATATACATACAGATATATATATATATATATATATATATATATATATATATATATATATATATATATATATATATATATATGTACACACACACACACACACACACACACACACACACACACACACACACACACACACACACACACACACATGTATACCAACCTATGTTTTTTGTTTATTAATGACTAGTCAAAAAGCTTCTACCAAACCATTAGTAAACTTAAAACCAATTACTTTTAGATTAGAAATACATAATGCAGGATAGAAATGGCTAAGTTGATGATGGTATATACTGATATCCTGATGTAGTGATTTAGAGAAACTTTGAACAATACTTATCTTCATTAATAACTAAATAAGTAATACAATTAAAATTGTATTTTATGTATTTATGAAACTGATTTTGCTATAAATGAGTGTGGGGGAATAAAATAAAATAAATAATGATCAACATGCTGTGCACATCTTATGTAACTTTACATTTTAAGCTGGATTTTGATACAATGATATTAAAGAGTTTTTTTTTTTTTAATTCAATATTTTTTCTAATATATGCATATATGTAAGTATGTACATATGCAGAATATATGTACTTTTTATTTTATTTATTTACTTTTTGGAATGCATAACCATAAATACTAAATTGAATGAACATAATTTGAATATAAAAATAATTATAAAAAATAATGGACAAACATTATATAGGTGTTGATTTTTTATTAGTGAACAGATTTTATACTTTCACAAAAACTAAAACATTAAATTTTAGGAGGGAAAAATAAATGACTATGGTGTAAAATATTGAACTTTGTCTTTCTTTTCTTCAGATGATGTTTCCCATTCTTTTATTATTAAGTCCCATTCTGAAAAAAACACAAAATTTAAAATTAAAATAACATTTTGTAATACTAATCTTAAAACAGTTCTTATCAATAAATAATGCTTTCATCAATAACATAGCATGGAATACATATCACAATTAGTCAACTTTGAAAGCCTTAATATTGTTAATACAGACTCATTAACGCACTACTATACTTTCAGTAGGAATTAATTTTTTTTTTAAACTTAAATTTTAGATAATTAATATAAATTATGACGATTGTGTGCACTATGTAAAATATTTACATGGAATATATTTTCGATGGAATTCCATTTAGTTTCTATAAAAATATTTATTTCTATTTCAATAATATAAAAGTAGACATTATTAACTAAAACAATTGAAATTCACTAGTTATTCAACATTCTACCCATCAAATTTGACAACCTTATGTGTTAGATATCCATTTTTATAAAATCTATATCTTTCCAACAGTATATCATACATCTATTTTACTACTAGTATTTCTGGAAATTTCTTTTCAACCTGCAAAAACATTTCTCTCATTACCTCCTTTAGTTAATTATCAAATTATTTCATGGTTTATATTTATCTATTTAGTATTACTACTAACAAAGAGAGGCCTTTAGCAATGTCTATTAAACAAAATATTAAAGGTACTTTACAGGAAGAAATTTTGAACACTCAGCATTTGAGTCCTGACTATTTCAATAAGAATTTTACATTGATATACAAAGTTAAGCCGACATCATTAGTAGTTTTCAACAATATTATAAGAATGTGTAAAATCAATAATATATCACCAGTTTGTCAATTTTGGCAAAAAATTTGCTATAATATCCTAGGCATATATATATATATACACCTTAAATAAGTAATTTCAGTTTCATACAAGTTCTCAGTTTTTCATTTATTTTATTTTTTAGGTAGATGTTCATACATCTTTTGCAAGATATGATTATTTGATATGAGGGGAGATAAACTTTTACAACTTTTCTATAATAAAATTAATAGTAATCATATTTTATAAAGGAATTTGAGTCCCCATCTCCTGGTATAGCAATAATTTTTAGTAGATTGCAATTTAATAATTTCAATTGTAATTCAATTTTGGTTCACTGAACTGTCTGCGGACCTTGAACAACCATAATACAGTCTTATTGAAGGAAGCTAGTCGACTGTTCTACATATCATGGGTGATAAATATTCAGGAAGCAGTCATTATAAAAATTGTTTATTATTTGTGCCGACATTTCAACCCAAACATGTGGGTCATCATCAGGGCGCAGAAGGTTTTCAAGTACTCAAAACTGAAGGCTTCACCATCTCAAACTCAAATCTTTAGTTTTGAGTACTTGAATTAGGAGATCAAGGGGCCATCTTCTTTTCAGATGCCTTGGAGGATTATCAGGAATTGAAGAGGAAGCTAGGTTAGAAACGAGAGGGTTGGGATGATTCTGAAGTTTATTATGAAAGGATGAGTATCTAGATTGGGCCAGATCTGAAACATAAGAAACATTAAGGTCATTATGGATGGTTTTATTTGTAACAAAGTAGGGAGCATTGAGGATTTTATGAAGAATTTTGAATTGTAAGGATTGGATACAAGAGGAATTCGATGGTTTAGTGGAGCCTCATAGCTCATTTCAGTCTGGTATAAGGATTCCAAGTTAGACGTTTGTCCAGGTGGAGTCCTATGTAGCGGGTTTGTTCAACAGGGATAAGTGGAGTATTGGTAAAGGAAACTGTAGGATAGGAAGTCATAGGTTTACGACGAAGGGTAAAGGTAATTTGGTGAGATTTATTGAAATTTACTTTAATTCTTCAGTTTTCACACCATTCTTCAAGGTTTATGATGTGTGATTGAAGCATTTGGGATGCAATTGATGGGTCATTATTTACTGATAGGATATATATGTCATCAGCATACATGGTGATGACAGTGTTGGGATGTCAGCAATATAAACTGTATAAAGGATAGGACCTAGGATACTACCTTGAGGAACACCAGTGGACTGGGTAAAGAGGGATGAGTAAGCGTTTTTGTGATTTACTTTAAAGTATCAGTAAGGTAGGAATGGATAATGAGAAAGTGTGTAGATGGTAGGAATTTTTGGAGTTTGTACAGCAGTCCCGGGTGCCAAACTCTATCAAACGCCTGTTCAACGTCGAGAAAGACTCCCATACAGTACATTCCGCGCTCCAATGCTGAGGAGACTAAGTCTACCACACGATGACATTGCTGTATAGTGGAATGGGAAACAGGCGTTTTAAGATGAGTTTTTCTAGGATTTTGCCCATGATGGGTAAAAGAGAGACAGGGTGGTAAGAGGATGGGTATTCTGGTGTTTTTTTGGGTTTGTCATTTTAACAATAGGTCGTTTTCAAGGATCAGGAAAATATGTGGAACTGAGTACAGTATTATATATGTAAGTAAGGAGTAGGATGGCTTTTCGAGGAAGAAGTTTTAAAATCTGGGATGTAATTAGGTCATGTCTAGGAGCTTTAGAGAGTAATTTTTGAATGATGTTGGATATTTCTTTGGGATGAAATGCTTTGGTTGGAAGGGACAATTGGAGAGGAATATCCAGTTCTGCTTCAATACAATCAATGTGAGTTGAATTAAGGATATCGGGATGTGAGTTAAAAGTTTGGAAGAGATGTTGACCAAATATTTAGGCTTTTTCTTCGTCGGATTTGGACCAGGTTTGGGAATCACTAAGTAGTGGCTGATTAAAATCTTGAAACTTGAGAAATTTTTTGGTGGTCATCCATAGTGATTTGTCAGTGGTTGTAAGTTTTTCAGTTAGGTTAAGTAATTTTTGAGTTTTAAATTTTTTAATTTTTGCTTTTAGTTTGTAAGTCAATTCAGTATAGTATGTTTTATCTGAAGGATATTTAGTCCTGTGTCACTTCGACCTTGCTCTGCGTTTTTCCTTTAATAAGATTCGAATATGTTGAGACAAATTAATATGTCGTGAGTTATTGCTTTTATTGATGGAAGTGTTATCATTTATAGTGGTTGTTATTGATGTGGTAAGTTTTTCTATGGCTTTGTCAATATCTTGTTTTGTCTTAAGCAGAATTTTTAAGTCCAAGTTAGGAGGTGAAGGTTTAGGAGCAAGGTTTCAATGCAGTAAAAGCAGAACCGGACTATGATCTGAAGAAAGGCCATCCAGGGATTTGATAATGATTTGGGAGGAGGAACTCAGGGAGGTGATAAATATGTCCAGGATATCGGGACGTTTTTTGAGGGATGTTGGCCAATAAGTAGGATTCATGGGCTAGAGGATGGAATAATTGTTAGAAGAAGAAACTCATGAGAGTATTACCACGGGAGTTGGATGTTCAACAACCCCATCGTTGGTGTTTAGCATTGTAGTCCCCTCCAGCAATAAAGCGTGATCCGAGGGATTGTTATAAGGATTCAAGTAGATTATATGAGAGGGAATTACCAGGAGAACAATATACAGTTGAAAGTGTTAGATGGAGAAGACGAGTTGAAAGTGTTACAGAAGGTTACTAAATGGCATCTGTTGGAATGGAAGGAATAAGGGAATAGGGTAAAGACTTATGTATAAGGATGCAAGAACCGGCGTGGGCAGTGTTGTCTGGGTGGTCAGATCTATAGGTGATGTAGTCAGGTATGTAGAAATGTGTCAGTTGGGTGAAGTGAGTTTCTGTTAGGAGGGCAATGTCAATATAATTGTCATGAAGAAATATTTCTAGTTCATCATGGTGGTTTTGTAGTCCATTAGAATTCCATAAGAGATAATTTGTGTTCATTGAGGGAAGTTAAGCAGGATTTCGGAGTCTGGTGAGAAGAATTATGAGCGGTTTGCTAGTCTGTTGAAGATCTATCAGAAATTATGATATGATAGTGTTGATGTCAGATGGTGTTTGACTGGGAAGTGGATTTGGGTCAGGAGGTTGTGATGGGTAATTTATGCGACTAGGATTGTTGGGTGGGAGGATGGGCCCGATTTGGGGTACGAGGAGATGAATCTAAATTCTGTTGGACTTGTGGTGGGGGGTTCATCTTGGGAGTAAGAACGAGTGGAACAAGGTGTGACTGCTCTGGCGGGAGTTTGACTCTTAAGGGTAGATGATGAGGAAGGATTTGCTGACGAGGAGGTTGAGGCTGAGGATTAGAGGTTTTGGGCTTGGATTGGGAGGACTGAGGCGCCTGACCTTGAGGCTGCTTCTTACTGATGGAAGCTATATCTTACTGAAATTAGATATATCTAGAGGTTTTGAAAACGCTTGGGTGCCCAACATAACCTGAACCTGAGGAAGTACAAATTTTTAAGGAATATATATATTTATCGGTGGCACTCTTGTCGGACTAAAAATGTTTCGTGACACTTAATATTTAATACACTTAATATATATTTTAATTAAATAAATAATTGGAATACAGTCGTAAAAGCAAATGGTTAGTGTCAAACAAAATAAATATAATACATTAGATGGCTATGAAAAACATATAGTAATTAATTGCTTTAAATAATGTTTAATAATAAATAATACTGTCTATAATTGTTACTTGCACTTCCCTTTGTATGAAAATAACTATTTCTGCTAAAATATGAGCGTACTGCACCTGATTTGTTTTTATAAAGGTAATTTTTTTGCAAAAATAATTTTTTTCCCAAATAATCCCTCTACGAAATTGCTCCCAGCCCTAAATGGTCCAAGTACGCCACCGAATGTTGGATCTTCTTGGAGAGTTAAAGTTTTAAAAATTTTTAATCAATAATATGTATACCTGGACTCAAGAAAGAGTGTGAAAATTCTATAACAGTAACTTTATAGTGGTTGCAGGTAGGAGGATATACTTCTTATTATTTTCTAATTTTCTAAACACAATTATGAATCATAAATAAACTGAGAGCATAATAATGAAGAGTGAATATTATAATACTAGAAGGGATCGCATTAGGAATGAAAGCATTAGAGAGCAGCTAGGAGTTGCCGAACTTAAAACTACTCTAGAAAGACGGCAACTCCAGTGGTTTG